AAAAAAAAAAAAAAAAGAAAAAGAAAAAAGAAAAGCAACAGAGATGGCATTGCGGTAAAGACAAACAAACAGAAAGCAAACCAGGGACCATCTTGCTGAGTAGACTTCAATTTCTTAAGTCTATCCGAACACTTTAGTATGTTTGTTACGTCAAATAAACACATTTATACATTTGAAAATTTTGGAACATATTTAGTAAGTGATAGTAACCAATGGGTAACCACTGTTATTTGGCAGAATATGATGGATTAATCAAGAGGAAGTCATCCACTGGGAAGTAGAGTTTGAGATGAAATTTGGCTCTATAGAACCAGTGTTGGCTTCTTCAGTTTCCTAGGCTGACAGAGAATTGTGAACTTACCTACAGGGCTACCATAGTGGGCTTAAGCTAACTTTCCTGTATGTCTAAATAACACTGCAACAAAAAGGAGACAGATTAAAGTTTGACAACAATAGGAGTGTCTTTTCAGCAATATAATTTTAACTATACATTTTATGAACTTAAATAAGTTCCCCTCAAGCTACGGTAACCTCACATAATCTTTGTTAAATGGTGTCAAAGAAGCTAGAATGAAAAGACATTTGCCATCTGTGAGGTGACCGCTAAGCTACCTGAATTATTTGGCATCCATATACTACTACCATGAGATCACGGGGAGGTCACTGAGACTGCAGACATAAAACACTATACCAACCAGACAGTGTTCCAGACCTAGGAGGCTGGGTGCCCGTGAAATCAGACACCTTGCGGTGTTTTGTTTTGTTTTACAATTTTGGCATAAAGAGTCAATAAGACGGCCAGGTGCAGTGGCTCACGCCTGTAATCCCACCACTTTGGGAGGCCAAGGGGGGCAAATCATCTGAGGTCAGGCGTTCAAGACCAGCCTGATCAACATGGTGAAACCCCATCTCTACTAAAAATACAAAAAGTAGCCTTGTGTGGGGTAGTGCATGCCTGTAGTCCCAGATACTTGGGAGCATGAGGCAGGAGAATCGTTTGAACCTGGGAGGTGGAGGTTGCGATGAGCCGAGATGGCGCCACTGTATCCAGCCTGGGTGGTGAGAGTAAAACGCTGTCTCAAAAAAAAAAAAAAAAAAAAAAAAGAGTCAACAAGACCAATTATCTGGCCTAAGGTAGGTAAAATACCTGATGTTTGTTAACTTCTAACCAGTCATTTTGGTGTACAGAGAAAGAGTCTGGTTTTCTTACAACAGTGAAGAGTATAGTCTAGAATAAAAGGCTTTTCTACTTATAATTGCCCCATAGATTTCAACTCTCATTAGAGACAGTCTGTGACATGGTTTAAAAAAAAAAAGAGTGTGAAAATTTGAAAACCATAGCTCACACTTCAAATCGTAAGAGTCTAGACTTGGGAACACTTAACTATGCATGTCTAGAGCAACGTGAACATCATTAGGAAACTCTCGCACAGAGATTTTGTTCCTTTCTCCACAGCAGCCTCTCTGTATCAGGTCACTGAGGGAACTCTCCTTAGGAGGAAGGGTGCCCAGGTGTGCCAAGCTTCATTCTGTAGTCATGACTATCCACTGACGTCAGTGTGATTACCTCCACTTCACAGATAAGGGAACTCAATCTCAAAAAGACTGGGACATTGTCAATGCCATTTAGTTACTAGGCTGTAAGGGCAGGACTCAAACTTAGGTCTGTATGACTCCAAAACCTAGTCTTTCTAGTATCTGAAACAGTTTACTTAGAAGGGAAAAGGGGTAAGTTGAGAAGGAAACAAAGCGAATCTCAGAGGATATGTGGACACGTTCTGAGGTTTCGTGCGCCTCAAACATGAGCTGGGAATAATGCAGCAATGAAAACATCAGACTGGACAAATCAGATTGTGCTGAACTACCTTGACTACCAGGTAGATGTCTGAGGACGGGTAGGTGACCGAGAAAACTGCAGATCTTGCCTGACTTGATGCGGCCACCGAAGGTGTGTGAGCTCGCAGAAATCCTTTGAACTGGTCAGAGTTCAGGTCACAGTGAAAATTTTCTGAGATCTGTAAATGAGCAACAAAGTGAAATATAAGTTAGACCTATTGTATTCATGGTTTAAACACATTAAAAAGGAGTAAAAACAGCACAGATAAATATGGCTGAAGGAATACGTGTAATAATCATAGATGTGGTTTAGGAAAGTGGTTACTAGATACATCTGATGAGTGTTTTGTCACAATGTCTAGGTATTTAGGAGTCATTTGAGAGATATTCCTAGAAACATTTAAATGTTTATCAAGCCACCAGTATTTCCTGAGTATCAGTGATGTGTTAGTTACTTCAATACAGAAGAGCAGGACCTCTGCCCTCAATTAGTTCACAATCAAGAACGAGGGAAGGACCGGGTGTGGTGTTTCACACCTGTAATCCCAGCACTTTGAGAGGCCAAGACGGGCACATCACTTGAGCTCATGAGTTTGAGGCCAGACTGGCCAACATGGTGAAATCTTGCCTCTATAAAAAATACAAAAACCATCCAGCATGGTGACACATGCCTGTGGTCCCCGCTACTTGGGAGGCTGAAGTGGGAGGATTGCTTAAACCTGGGAGGTGGAGGTTGCAGTAAGCCAAGATGGCCCCAGTGCATGCCAGCTTGGGCAACAGAGTGAGACCCTGGCTCAAAAAAATAAATAAATAAAAGTGATGGAAAAGGCAAACATGCAACTATAGTAAAAGCAAAATACAAGTCACCATATGGATACAAAGAAGCACTGTGGCAGTTCCAGAGAGTGACAGGCCTTTTGCAGTTACCCAACTGCAAAATGTGACAAGGACAACTTTTCATGGAAGCAGTACTGGAGATGGATGGGCCTTAGAAGATTCTGATAGGCAGGGGTGGAGGGTGACGATGTACTATGGAGAGAGTACAGCACAGAGGCTTGAACGCTTGGGGGAAGCTTAGTTAACAGGCAGTGGTCCAGCTTGACTCTGCATAGACTATGGATGGAAAGAAAGTAGAGGAATGCCATCATGAAGAAAACCCAGCATGAAAGCTAGAGTTTGCTCTTAATATTGTAGGCAGTGAATCTTAGTGAAGATTCTGAGGAAGCACATAATGTGAGCAGTGCTCCTGGCTCTCTTAGTGTAGTATTACTTAAGAGCCACGTATGTTTCGCTTCTCCCCTTCATCACCAAGAGAATTTTAGTGGGGAGTGGTTGTCCAGGCAGAGACTACATTTACCAGCCTCCTTTGCAATGAGGGGTGATCATGTGACTGAATTCTCTCCAATGAATTGTGAGCAGAAGCAATGTGTTGAACTTCCAGGCCTCCTCCATCCTTCTTTTCTCTTCTTCAGGGGTAGCTATGGCAGTGACAAGAGTGATTTGGGAGAGCACATATTGAAGATGGAGGAGCCATTGCCAGCCTGTGTTTCTGAATGACTGGGTGGAACAGAGGGGTCCCTCCTCCTGCCCTGGATGGTTAAAGAAACAAAGACAGCAAATTCTTGTTTATAAGCCAGTGGTTTTCAAAATGTGGTCCCCTGAACAGCAGCTTCAGCATCACCAGGGGACTGTTAGAAATGCAAATTCTCAGGTCCCACCTGGACATACTGCATCAGAAACTCTGTGGGTGGGCCCCAGCAAAGTGTGTTTTAACAAGTCCTTCAGGGGATTCTGATGTATGCTCAAGTTTGAGAACTACTGCTTTAAACCGCTGAATTTGGGGTTCTGCTTGTTTCAGCAGTTAACCTATCCTAACTACACAAATCTCAGTGATCATTAATATTTATGCAGAAGATACATGTTTCCTTAAATACAGAATGACTTAAGAAGGGCAGAAGTGTCCATCTTCTATTTTGGGATTTGCTATTGCTATCTTCTTCTGGGAGTCACAAAATGACTAAACATTAAACATGCACAGAGAAGTCTTGGTCACTGTTTTCATTAAAAACACATTACAGTTGGTGAGGTCTTTGCTCTGTGACAAATTGAGACCTTTACCATGTCAGATGCCCTTCAGTCATAATAAGCCTATTTCACATTAGAACTCTCAAACTGAGGAAGCTTTACATTCACATCCCAGCTTGTTAAAAACGTATTTAAATGGGTTTGTTTTCTATATAACCCCATGTGCTGACTATTTCATTCTTTCTCTATTCCAGCCAGGCCAGCACCTCCAGGAGCCTTTCCCTAAAAAATCCTTCAAAGATCATAAATTACGTTCTCAGACCACTGCTTGAAAAATCGCAAAGGCAACAGAACTGGACCCATCAAAGATCATTTGCTTTCAAATCTGATAGGTTCTTGCTGCAAAGAAGATTTAGAAACATACATCCAAAGAATCATGAACAACATACGTGCCTTGTGGATGGATTTTTATTTGCTTTCTTACCTTTTTCCTTTCTTTAACATCGTAGAGGGCAATGCTGGCAAATAGAGGCTCAATTTCGATCTCGAACCTATCACAGAAAGAGAGGAAAATCTAAGTGGCTTTAACTTAGATAATTTTGAATTTTCTGAAAATGCCTGGATAGATAAACTGGTTAAAAATGTGAGCAGTTTCCAGAAATATTTGGAAAACTCCAAGTATATGAGAATCACACTGGCATATTAATGGAGAAATATGGGAGGTTTGTGAAATATTTCTAATCATTTGAGATCATAGTGGACATTACAAAGGCATGCTGGATATTTTTGGGATGTCTCCCAAAAATTGCTTATTGGTAGTACTGCAAGAGAAAGTGGGCTGAATAGATCTTTAGTCTGATCCATCTTCTTAGCATTGTAATGACTGTGTTTTCTGAGGGTAGACTTTCTGTCTGAGGTAATGGACTTGTTCATATTTTACATTGTATTGTTAGGATAGTATCTGTTTTCACAATGCAAAGATATGGAACCAACCTAATTGCCCATCAACCACTGAGTGAATAAAGAAAATGTGGTATATATACACTAAGGAATACTACTTAGCCATAAAAAGGAATGAAATAATGTCTTTTTCAGGAACTTAGGTGGAGCTGGGTGGAACTCTGTTTGCTTCTGCATACTCATAGCTTAGTTCCCACTAACTACAGCATTTGGTTTTCCTGCGTTACTTCACTTAGGAACTGTGTAAGTGCATGTAGCACATTATGCTTTGGCCTCATATTTGCATCTCTTCGTGGACACTTGAGTAACTTCTACCTTTTGGCTATTGTGAAAAGTGCTGCTTTTTTTTTTTTTTTTTGAGATGGAGTCTTGCTCTTGTTGCCCAGGCTGGAGTGCAGTGGCGTGATCTCGGCTCACTGCAACCTCTGCCTCCCATGTTCAAGCAATTCTCCTGCCTCAGCCTCCTGTGTAGTTACTCAGGAGGTAACTCAGGAATGGAAAACCAAGTGCCATATGTTAGTAGGAACTAAGCTATGAATATGCAAAGGCAAACAGAGTAGTATAATGGACCTTGGAGACTCAGAATGGGGAGAATAGAGGGTGACGAGGGATAAATAATGACATATTGGGTACAATGTACACTACTTGGTTGATGGGTGCACTAAAATCTCAAACTTCACCACTATACATTCATCCATGTAACCAAAAACCACTTGTACCCTAAAGCCATTGAAAGAACAACAAAAAATGTTAAAGAATAAGCTCTATATTATTCAATTCTAAGGAATGGGACTTTGCAGATGGCAACAAAAGAAAAGTTCGATTGCTTTTCCTTAGACTGATAGTGTGACAGTCAGAATAATACTAGGTTTCGATGGGGATGAATGTCTGGCCCTTCCTAACTCCATTACTGGGGAGTTGCTGAGTTTAGGTCAGGGAGTGGATTGAGCACAGCAGATAAACACCGAGGTGCCTGGGCCCCGTGAGAGCTAGAAAGAGGAGCCCTCATATTGACCCTAATTGCCAATTCCCCTTGAAATGGTGAATCCCAAAGCATAATCCTGCTGCATTATCCACCTTTACTATCCTGGTGGACATTATAGGTGCACACGGAACACTGATGAATGTCTTCCAAGTTTCTCAGCTTGATGTCCCAAGGCCTTGGATGTTACCTGCTGAGAGCACCAGGAAAAGGGTCCCAGCCTACCATCAATCAGACGTCATGTCAGTAAAGCTATGTTGTGTCTCCAGCTATGTGCAAGAGGATGTCCTTATCAGTAGATAGCTTTGTTTCAAAAGAGGACTTTTCAGAAGAATGTTGGGACAGAGTATGAACACGGACAAAAGGGTTATTTGCTAAAATGGCACCTTTGGAAATGAGGCAATATGGAATCATGGCAGACGCCCAGGGCACCCAGCCAGAGACCTGGCCTCTGTTCCTCTTCACCCCCCTGCGAATTCTGTGATCCTAATCAGGTTACCTACCTTTCCCAATTGCATTCATTTATCTGCAAAATAAGGAAAGGATGCTTGCTTTTCTATTTTCCAGGCTGTTATGAGGATCATGTAAGATGATGTGTGTGAATGTACCTTAAAAACAATGCTGAGTAGCAGCACTCTTCACAATAGCCAATAGGTGGAAGTCACCCAAGTGTCCATGGACAGATATATATGAGGCCAAAGCAAAATGTGCTACGCATATACAATGGAATATTATTTAGCCATAAAAAGGAGGGAGATTCTGATACATGCTATAATATAGATGAACCTGAGGATACGATGGTAAGTAAAAGAAGCCAGTCACAAAAAGACAGTTACTTTATGATTCCCCTTATATGAAGCACCTAGAGTAGTCAAATTCATAGAGGCAGAAAGTAGAATGGTAGTTGCCAGGTACTGGGGATTAGGGAGCGTAAGGAGTTATTGTTTAATGGGTACAGAGTTTCAGTTTGGGAAGAGAAGAATTCCTGGAGGTGGATGGTGGTGATGGCTGCAGAACAATGTGAATGTGCTCACCACTGAACCGTACCTTAAAAATGGTTAAGATGGTAGATTTTATGTGATGTACATTTTACCACCTGAAAGCCCAGTGCTGAGGATTTCTATGATAATTATTTCTATTATTAGGTAATTGCACATTAACTGGGGGCTTTCTTTTTTTTTTTTGGTGAGATGGAGTTTCACTCTTGTCACCCAGGACAGAGTACAATGGTGTAATCTCTGCTCACGGCAACCTCTGCCACTGGGGTTCAAACAATTCCCCTGCCTTAGTCTCCCCAAAAGCTGGGATTATAGGCACATGCCATCACGCCTGGCTAATTTTTGTATTTTTAGTAGAGATGGGGTCTCACCATTTTGTCCAGGCTGGTCTTGAACTCCTGACCTCAGGTGATTCACTTGCGTCAGCCTCCCAAAGTACTGGGATTACAGGTGTGAGCCACCACACCAGGCCAATTTGGGGCTTTCTTGTGCCAAGGCTCACCAGCTCTGCCTAGAATGGCCAACCTATATTTAATTCTGTCCTCCCTACTACAAAAAGGGCCTAAATATTGCTGGGATATACTTAGGTAGGTACTGAGTGGTAAGTCCTCTGTGGTTCAGAGAAAGGAAAAGAGAATTGACATTTATTACAGACTCAAAATTGTGCTGTACTAAGTGCTTTCCACACATCAGCCACTTTACACAACTATAGTGTAATGCAGATATTATCTGCATTTAACACACTAGGACACCAATGTTCCCAGGAATTAAGGAACTTGCCAAAGTCCACAAAGTTAGGAACAGGCACAGTCAGGCTTTGAGCCCAGCTATCTCTGATCACAGAGCCTGGGTTTTTTCAATGAGCATTTGTTCTTCAAGTGTAGTTCCCCAAAACTAGCATTCTGAAGCAAAAGAAGTTTGCCAGCCTACAGGTTTCCTGATCCACCTGAGACCTACTCAACCAGAATCTCTTGAGGGAGATTGTTATGGGAGGTCCTCCAAAATCCGCATTTAAAATAAACTCCCTGGGTAAACTTTCTGTACACTAAAGTTTCACCATCTTCATTTTAGGAGTCTTTTAAGAAGACTCCTAAAAGCTGAGGTTACTTTTTATAAGATGGTATTAAATCTTAAAAATCTTTCTCCACTTAAAATACAAAACAGAAAAATACTGTGTTATCATTCTCTTTTTTTCCTGTTACAAACACAGAATTGGCAGGAGCCTAATTCTTTCTGTATCTTTGAGGGTTTATATATTTCTGAAAAGCAATACAGAGACAGTTACAGATGTCCATGGCTTTAAACAAATCCCTCAGCTGCTAAAATCTGTAGTTTTTTTTATTTTTTTATTTTTTTTTTTAAAGATAGGGTTTCACCATGTTGGTCAGGTTGGTCTTGAACTCCCGACCTCAGGTGATCTGCCCACCTTGGCCTCCAAAGTGCTTGGATTACAGGCGTGAGCCACCACGCCTGGCCAAATCTGTAGTTTTATAAATAGAATCCTGCATATCAATGTCAATGGGAAAACATCTGCCGTTAATATTACCCTTATATTTTTAGTATTCATACTGTCACATTCTAGGCTTACCTACAAGAATTTGTTTCTTTTCTTTTGTCTAATTTACTGTAAGTGGTTACTCCTGGGGCTATCTCTTTGGTCCATCTTTTCTCTTGCAGGTATAGGTTAGCATGGAGACTATTTAAAACACCTGAGCTGGCCAAGTGCACCTGGTGAATATGTCAATTCGACTTCATGCTTTGGCAGTTGAGGGGAATATCACTAGAAACTGCACTTGACAATTTTCATTAAGAGATATTCAAGTAACTCCCCTTTTTGCAATTTTAGAGACAGGGTCTCACTCTGTCACTCAGGCTGGAGTACAGTGGCATGATAGTAGCTCACTGCAGTCTTGAACGCCTGACCTCAAGCGATCCTCCCACCTCAGCCTCCCATTGTAGCTAGGACTAAAGGTGCATCACCACATCTGTTAATTTTTGTAGACAGGGTTCTGGCTATATTGTCCAGGCTGGTCTCAAACTCCTGGCCTCAAGTGATCCTCTCACTTTGGCCTCCCAAAGTGTCAGGATTACAGGTGTGAGTCACTGCACTTGGCCTCCATCAACTTAAAAAAAAATAAATAACACATAACTTCTTAGTGGCCATGTTTTCCCACCTGTGAGAACAGCTGCCTCTATTCATTGGAGAGGGCTAGAAAGCTTGGCGATGAGTACTATAGGGGAGAATTTCTGTCATATCAAATGACATAGTCACTGCATCTAAAAGTAGCCTGACGATGCATCCTGTGGGGAGCTGGTGGGTGCCTCAGACAATAGAGAAGGCTTCCTAAACAATGCAGAGGGGAACAGCCACTTCCACCCGGTCCTCCTGCGGACCAGACAGGCGAGGAAGCTCCCACTTCCAGGCTGGTTTGCAAGGGCTAGAGCTAGCTTTTCTGTGCATTACTTGATACTCAGCTGGTTTATGGGCTGCTCATTTCTCCATACAAAAGGCCCTTCTGGTAGAAGTGGCCAGGGGGAGGAGACTATAACATCAAGAGACCACCCATCACTGTGCAGGCAGACTTGCTGGCTTGTATTCTGAGGCAGAAGAACTTGGCAGAGGCTGCGTGTTAGAATCACAGAAGTCTGTGGTAGGTAGGAACTTGGAGACCATAAGGTCTATCAACTTCATTTATAGGTAAGAACTCAAAATCCCAGGGAAGTTCCCAGGGTTGAAACCCAGCCTTACATCCAGAATCCACATGCCTTCTCACTGCAAACCAGGGGCTGCTGAAGGGACCCTTGAATTGACTTGGAGAGATGGGTGACCCTTCTAATACTATGTAAAGAAATGTTACACTTCTGTAGTTTTGCTTAGGTAGACTATGTACAACTTAAAAGTTTTCACCTGTGGATTTGAAGAGGAAGAACTAATTCTTGAAAGTGGCAGTCTGCAGAGAGGAAGAGAGACATGGAAGCACTCTGGGAGGACACAAGACAATCTATTGCAGTGCAATAGAAAATACTAGAATTTATTTAGATTTATCTAGTTCATCCTTTAAAATTTCTCAATTATATATTTTATAATGCAGATATTTTAATGTGAAAGTACAAAATTAATATATGTACATAAAGGACTTTTTTTTTTTTTTTACTGTCAAAGTATACAATCAAAACATATGGACGCAACTGCTTTAAAGTAGATGTGGCAAATAATTGGCCCACAACCTGAAACCAGATTGTAGCTGTGTTTTGTTTTAATTGTATGATGTTTATAAAGGGAATGAGAAAATACTTAGGGAGTTCGGATATTATGCAGAAAAATCTGGGTTTCCAGCTTCTCTTGAAAAAAATAAACAGTTTACAAAAATGGGCCTGTTTATTCAGATGGCAAGAATGCTGTTGTTAGTAGTGAGTGCCCCCTTAACATGGTTTACTGCAGTCCCCACCACTCCCTACTGTCCCCTGGCACTAAGACTGAGTTCTAGTTGCATTTATCATGGTGTTTCAACAGTGGCATACTGGTAAATGTTTAATAAATAATCTCTGAGTGCTGAGGGTGGTGCACTTTTGCAGCACTGGCTGATTCTACATTGTAAATACTTTTACCATGGCCAATTTAAAGTTACCAGTGTGACTTCACTGAACACAGGGTTAGGAAAAGGTGTACACTGTCAGCTGTCATGAGTTAGTCGAGTTGATTCCAGCACACCACTGATGTGTTATTTTTCTTAACATAGGTCATTTCACTCAATTACCTTACATGTCTAACTTTATTAGACATTTGTGTTTGCTTTCTGTATTACAGAAGAATAACTGTCAAAAGGATGGTAGGAAAAAAAAAAATCCAGGAATAGACTCAAATGGTGCCCTTTCTACTACTCCACAGCTGCCCAGTGTTAAAAGTATTTTGGGAGCTCCTCTCTGATTCAAGCTCTGATGATAAAGACAACATTTGTATCTAAAAGGCAAGATCAGTCTCAAAGTAGTGGTAGTGTGTTGGTTGATACTCACTTTAAGGTCAGCAACTTGACCAATATTCTGTTGCCCAGATGTTCCTTGGGACATTCTGGTACCGGACGTATCTCCACAGCATCCTCCTATGATTAATCACATCATAAGAAAATCATTAGTAAATTCTGTGAGGAGTTCCAGTTAGAGTTAACCCAGGGGAGGGAAGGCTGCCTTCCATGGCTCAAGTTCACTCATATTTGCTTTATTTCTAACACTCTGCCTCTTATAAGAAAGTTTGTCTTCCAACCCCCAACCTTCAAAGCCAGGATTTACAGCAAACATTTTCTCCTTTTAGAAACCAAGCATTTAAGACAAAGAGACTGAAGGAGGAAGGAAGGAAATGTGAACATGGATATGGCTTAGTAACATCCACCAGATGGCATTGCAAAATCTTATACCTATTGTGGATGTTTTTGTGTGTTTTTTGCCCACTCTAATTACACATTCAGAATATTTCTCCTGTCAAGGGCTTTACTAGCAAGTATGTGACTTTCAGATTTGAAAGCTGAGTCAGAATGGTTCACTTAAGGCTGTAAACCATCTATCCTAAAACACAGAGTTATTTTCTCAGTTCACTGTTTTCTTAAACAGGTGATAGAGATTGGGGTTGAACTGACAAGTTCTAGACAGGCTTAGGCCGTTAGAACTTGCTGAAGTGCTAGGTATTGAAACTTAGTAATGACAAATCAAGAGCTCTACTTGTTTATTTTACCTCACAGAACCCAAAGACTTAAAGAGAATGTCAAGTCCCTATTGTAACTTTAACATCTGCATCTGAACTATCATTCTATCTTAATTATATTCATGTATGCAAAAATAAGCAGTGCAAATCCTTGAAAACAGTAATTCTCACTCTTGTAGTATGCTTTCCAAACACTGGTGAGCGCTCTGCTGATCGCAAGGGTCCAAAGAACAGGGTCATGTCTCATGGTCTTTTCCTGGGAGATTTCCACTGAATACCCCCTGGCAAGCCTAACATTCTTCCAAACAGCAGCAAAGTCACCTTCCTGGTAAGTATGTACCCACTTTGGTGGAATGATCCACGTGGTAAGCTCATCATTACTCCAGCCTCTCCCTGTGGCCCCCATTCCTTGTGGTTACAGTTGGCCATGCTGCTGGGTGGAATGGCTGAGTTTATTTCAGAGGAGACACTGTTCTGGTGCCTGCCCCAAGCTAGACTCCCTCGGAGCAGTTTGGAATTTTTAGGATGATTGGAACAGACATATCTAAAGGGAGGATCTCCCTAACTGGAAAACAACCTGAAGGTAGAGACACTCATGGATTTCTAGGACTGCCTTTGGTCTAGATTCTAATTTTTGAAATCCTTTTAAAAAAGATTTTCATTTGGAAAATTTTAAACAGATGCAAAAGTAGAGAGAGTAATGTAACGAACCACTATTCACCCATCATCACCTGACTTCAACAAGTTCAACTCATGGGCGTTCTGGTTTCATCTATTCAACCACTTACTACCTTTGTCTCTCAATACTGGGTTATTCAGAAGCAACTTCCCAGAGACGATATAAATATGTTAATATTTCAGTACATATCTTTAAAAGATAAAGACTTAAAAAAAACATATAGCAATACCATTATTATGCCTAAAATTAATAACAATTTCTTATTGGCGCTAAATAATTTTTGCCAGTTTCAAATTTCCCTGACTGTCTCAATTTGTTTTTACTGTTATTTTGTTAAATCAAGATCTAAGCAAAGCCCACATACGGCATTTGGATGATGTATTTCCTACGTCTCTTTTAATCTATATAAATTTCTCCAGTCTTTACAGCCAACCGAAATGGGAACTAATTCCCAAGAAGGCGCAAAGTGGAAATGTGAAACGTTAGTGGATACCTCTTGTTTTCATCATCCTAAAGACACACACAAATGAAGGGAATGAAACATATAATGAGAGAGAAAGAGACAGTACGAGAGAGATGATATTCTTTCAGTTACTGTCCCAGCAGATCTGGAGGTCAGCTCCACATTTGCCTACCTGTGATTTCCTTAGATGAGCCAAGAAGTACTCACCCCACCCTTTTTTCTGAGTTGGTTTTAGTTGGGTTCTGTCACTTGTAACCAAGAGCCTCAGCAAACTTTTCCATGATTTAAAGTATTAGTGGAATCTTTCTCAGTGATTGACATAGAATGCCTTTTGTAGAATCAGAATGAATTAGGGAAACAACTTGCCTTATAAAACCTTGGTGGTTAAGTCCAACTTTTGCTTCTCCTGTAGACTCAGCCATAACCTGGATATACTAGTTTACCTCTCTTCTAACTTTCCTTACAGGAAAATCAAGTAAGGATAATGTTTAAAAATCTGATTGTATCATTTAAAAAAACAGTATTTGTAATCATTTCAGAGTAGGTAGAAATTTACCTTTCTTCCACAGAACTTTCTTAGGAGAAAGTACAAATTATAAGTACAAGCTTCAAAATATTAAAGGGCTGGTATAGAGGCTCTCAAGCATTTTAGACAGGCCAATTTAAAAAAAAACTAGTACACTCAATTACAAAGCACTTCTCTCTACTCAATAAAAGTGGGCCCCATTAGGCCTGCTGCTAGATTATAACTTTCAGTCCCAACAGAGTGTCTGCAGGGTTTCAAAGATCATAAAACAAAGTTCCTCTAACACCAGGCTATGTTTCATTCTTTCAATCAATTTAGATGGGACATTCTCCCATCTAGTACCACCAGGGAGACACTGACAAGCAAATGTCTCACTGGACATATTCTCTGCATCCTTTAATTGTTCTCTCTCTTCTGGCATCCACTTTGGGTCCCTGTATTACATGTTGGCATCTCCAACGAAGAACTGAGAGGAAGAGGGGGGAAAGTAAAGGCCAAATGAGTCTGATTTAATGTATCTTGACAGATCTGGAGAAAAGTCTTAATGTTGTGGATGGAAACTGAAAAGTTATATGATATTTAAAATTATCATATTTGGATTTCAGTTATGTGTGCTAGCATACCAGGTAGTCATAGGTATGTAGATACATAAACAAGCAAACATGAATTCTGGAGCTAATGGGTCAGGGCCCCATTTTATAATTTAATTTATCTGTTGAGTCTTGAAAAAGCTCTTTAACCTAATTCTTGCTTTCTAATAATAGAGGTGATGATATTGCTCACATTATTCATACTTTATTAATTTAGTTTTTAATTGACAAATAGTAATTGTGTACATTTATGGGGTACAGTGTAATGTTTTGATCAGTGTACACATTGTACAAAGTTTAAATAATGTTTTGATCTATATATACATTGTAGAAAGATTAAATCAAGCTAATTAATATATCTATCACCTCACCAACTTACCTTTTGCGTGTGTGTGGTAAGAATATTAAAAATCTTTTTTGAAGCAGTTTTGAAATATACAACACATTATTATTAACTCTGGTCACTATACAGTGCAATAGGTCATTAAAACATATTCCTCCAGTCTGAGACTTTGTAGATTTTGATCAACATCTTCTCCCTCTCTCTGCTGCCCTTGGTAACCACTTTTCTACTCTGTTTCTACGAAATCTACTTTTTTCGATTCCATATATAAGTGGGATGATTTATTTTTATAATGTGCCTCATTCAGAAGAGCATTTGAAGCTGCTGATGAAAACTGTAAATCAAATAAAAATAGATGAGGAAACCACGGTGCTTGGGATAAGAAAAGAAAGCTGGAATATATAAATTCAGGACACCAATCAGTAAGCTGCCCCATTTGGTGAAGGTGGACAGAAATTTGCTCTGAGTAAAGAATTTAAGATAGTTAGTTATAAAATGAGCACAATCTCTAAGTGCTCTTATTATCTCAGCAGAAGTACCCTTCTTCTTTGTCTGAAGACTTGAATTGCCCTTTAGATCCTCAAAGAGGAAGGTGCTAGGTGGTGAGTAGGTCAATGTCAACAACACTATTTCCATGTGGACGTGATATGCTATCTCATGACTGCTGTTTCCTTTATTGTCCTCCTTGCTGACAGTGGTGAGTTCACTGAAGGGCACGTTAGCTAACACAGTCCAGAAGGGCAGGGGTATCAGGCTCTCTGATGGTCTTGCTTATTCCAAGGATCGAATTTCAATTATTTAGAGGCATGGATGGATAGAATATCTTTTATGCAAAGTTTCCCCAAATCTTGTTTCTTGCAACTGAACCTTTTATAAAATTTGGACAGCAGAGATATAGTGGTAATCTGTTCTGGCAAGACCCAGAAGTGTAGATAACCTCACATGCAGAGGGCAAAACTGAGTGCCTCCCATAAAGTATGAGGAGTTCAAACGGACACAGGCTTAAACAAGGGTCATTTCTCATTTCATCCAAAGTGCCCCAGGCAGTGATCACAGGCAAAGTCTACATTATCCTATTGTTGTGGGTCAGTGCCAACGAAGAAGTAAACAATCAAGATCCCGAAGTCCCACATTTTGGGAGCATGGGCTGCGATCATCTTAGCCCGAAATGTCTTCAAAGCAGGTCTCTCTGGTTGCTCATAGAGACCATTAAAAGGAAGTAACAAAGCATTCAACAACATCAAAGTTTAAGTAATGTATGTCTCAATGGATTTGTTGCCACCCATACCCTCAAATAATAGAATGGTTTGACTTGCTAGGTGTGATTACTACATGCAGACCCTTGAAACATCTGGGGATTCAATGAGGTGCTCTCAGTGAATATATTGTGTAAAGTGCTATGACAATTCTAGTAGTTATTATTATCAGAATCCCAACTGTACGATAATCAATATTGGTTCTGCTATGGCACCTGGGCTTACCTGAGTGAAAAACACGGCCCCAGAAATCATACACGTGAGCCCTGATATCATGGGCTGCTATACAGTAATAATGAACACCACAATCATCCACGTGACTCTGAGACTTCACTGAGATTCTCCAGGATGCAGACAGTGGTACCCACCTCATCCACTGATGGGTAAAGGGCAAAGAGCTCGGCCTGCCGATTGGTCCTCCGGGCCTCCTCATTCTGCTTCTCAAAGTCCTCGGCACTTACTTGCTGCAGGAGGTTTTCTAGCCGCTGGTCAGGCTGCAGGCTGCGGAGGTCAAAGTCACAGGCAGTGAGGGGGCCTTTCCCAGACACATCGCACAGCACGTTTAAGTGGCGGGGGCCCGTCTGTGAGAGAAAACAGTGGGTCTTTGTGAGAGAGACAGCAAGTCTAAAATGAGAACTAAAGAATCTGGGATGTCTCAAGACTGCTCCAATTTGGGACTACAGAATCTCAGGCAATCCTCAAGTTTTCTGAAGAAACTGGGGGTTTTACAAGAATGGCATCTTAGCTTCCTGGCTGGACTATTCTAAAATTAAATGTCTTCTTCTCACTTGGAAACAGGTAGTTACTCATCATATGCAGACAAACCAGTCCTGAGGAAAGGACTAAAAACAGCACTATGTTCCTTTCAGTGGTCAGCTTGTTCTTTCCTAGGGCTGAGGGCAAAGCCTCTTAATGAACCATGCTCATGTCTCACACTAGAGCAAAACAGAGCTGGAAAAAGGCGTAATAAAAAGGAGACTGGGCCAGGAGCAGTGGCTTATACGTGTAATCCTAGTACTTTGGGTGGACAAGGTGGGAGGGCTGCTTGAGGTCAGGAGTTCAAGACTAGCCTGGGCAACACAATGAGACTCTCACGAAGAGAAAAAAAGCAAAACTTAGCCAGGTATGGTGACATGCACCCATAGTCTTAGCTACTTGGAAGGCTTAGGTAGGAAGACTGCTTGAGCCCAGTCTAGGATGTCAAAGGTGCAGTGAGGTATGATTACTTTTTTTTTTTTTTTGGCAGTCTTGCTGCAACACCCAGGATTGGGTACAGTGGCGCTATCTCAGCTCACTACAACCTCCGGCTCTGGGGTTCAAGTGATTCTCCTGCCTCAGCCTCCCAAGTAGCTGGGACTACAGGGGCCTGCCACCACATCTGGCTAATTTTTGTATTTTTAGTAGAGATGGGGTTTCACCATATTGGCCAGGTTGGTCTCAAACTCCTGACCTCAGGTGATCTGCCTGCCTCAGCCTCCCAAAGTGCTAGGATTACAGGCATGAGCCATTGTGCCCAGCCACATTTAAGTCTTTAATCCATTTTGGTTGCTACATAATAAGATCACAAGTGACAGCCTATCACTCTTTGCCATATTGTTTTGATAGAAGCAAGTCCCAGGTCCCACTCAGTCAGGGATGAACATCACAAAGGTGTGAATGTCACAGGTCCAGATGATGGGGCAACCACAGAATCTGTCTGCCACACTAACTTTCTCATAATTTAAAGTGCACATCTAGCTTCTGTAATAATGCACTATTTTTAAAATGTTGGGCTCATGCCTGAAATCCAGCACTTTGGGAGGCTGAGGTGGGTGGATCACCTGAGGTCAAGGGTTCGAGGCCAGCCTGGCCAACATGGTGAAAACCCATCTCTACTGAAAATACAAAAATTAGCCAGGCATGATGGTGGCTGATTCCTGTAATCCCAGCTACTTGGGAGGCTGAGGCAGGAGAATTGCTTGAACCCAGGAGGTGGAGGTTGCAGTGACCCAAGGTCATGCCACTACACTCCAGCCTGGACAACAAGAGTGAAACTCTACCTCAAAAAAAGAAAAAATTAATAGACACATAATGGTTGTACCTATTATGGGGTGTAATATTTTGATACCTGTGTACAATGTGCAATTATCAAATCAGGGTAATTAGCATATCCATACCTCAAACAATGATCATTTCTTTGTGTTAGGATCATTCAAAATCCTTTCTTCTAGTTATTTGGAAATACAGAATAAATTATTATTAACTCTAGTCACTTTACAGTACTATAGAACACTAGAACTTATTCCTCCTATCTAGCTATAATTTTGTAACCATTAACCAACCTTTCTATTCTCCTCTCCATCCGCCCTTCTCAGCCTCTAGTTACCACTATTCTACCCTCTACTTCTATGAGATCAACTTATTTATCTTCCACATATAAGTGAGATCTTACAGTATTTGTCTTACTGTGCTTGGCTTATTTCACTTAACATTGTCCAGGCTCATCCATGCTGATGCAAAGGACAGGATTTCATTTTTTATGGCTGAATAGTATTTTATTGTGTGTGTATATATGTATATCGCATTTTCTTTCTCCAGTCTTCTGTTGATGGATACTTTGGTTGAGTCCATGTCTTGGCTACTGTGAATAGTGCTGCAATAAACATAGGGGTGCAGATGTCTCTTTGATACCGTGGTATCCTTTCCTCTGGATCGTATGGTCAACTTGGCTCTTAAATACAGATAGTGACTTGAGTGCTCTGTTAGTATGCTGTAGGAAAGTGTGTGCTTTGTGCGTATGCTGGTCTTCATCTATTGTCTCTGGGCTCCAAATTCACCCTTTTATGTTTTGTTCTTTGATACTGGGTCAGCAAATTATATTTCCGGTTTTTTGTCCCTTTAGGTTCTGTCAATGGGGGCGCTACAGGGTTACCAGATGGCTTGAGGAGGGCAAAGGTCCTGGCTCCTTCCTGTTGCTGGTCCTCCCACCTTCTTAGTGACAGTTGGTTCTAGCCTTCAGGTTCTTTTGGCACTTCCAGAATCACCCTTATCTTACTTCCTTGTAGGTACCAACACCAGCTGGGCAATTCCTCCTCCTGTGAGGAACAAGTCCAGATTCCACGAGGTCTTTCCCTCTGAGATCCTGAGATAACACCACTGCCTGGGTGGCGCCTTCTTCTCAGGGATGTCAGTCCTGGCTCCCAGGCCCCTCTTCTGAGTTTCTACATTCTGACAACTCCAAATTCTTCCCCTAGACACGTGGTCCTCAAATTGTGGTCCTGGGACCAGCAGCATCAGCATCACTTAGGAAATGCTGATTAGAAGGTATCAGGTTCACCCTCCAGACCTACTGAATCAGAAATTCCAGCAGACAGGGCCAAGCAACCCATGTTTGAACAAACCCTCCGGGGGATTCTGATGACGCTAAAGTGGAGACCCACTGCTGTATAACCCAGCCCCAGAGTGGCGTGCTGTTTTCTATAATGATGATTTTAGTATAGCCTCAATTTTTCCCTTTTGGTTCTCTTAGACCTCTAAAATCTGCTTAATCAATTCCCTGTGTTAAATTTCTTCTGTTGAAATACCTACTATACCTTCTGTCTAATAAGAGAAACAATTTAGTTGGTCATCACGTAGGGTGAAGATGGAATTTAGTCAAAATTACTGATTTAAAAAAATCCCTTAAATCTCCCATACAGCAGAGCATCCAGGTATTCTATCCTTTAGTAAGTTTGTCATATTTAGTGCTGGAAATTATGGCTGATTCCACTGTGGAGCTCCAAGTAAGTAGTTGGCTTGGCTTTAGGGGGGACCACCTTGTCTGAAAAATAAGTATGATTTTAAAACCTCTAGTCATTTCCAGCATGGTGAGATTCCTGTACTATGGTACTATGAAGACATGTGGAAGCTGAAAACTGTATTAGTTTACATGAAGTTCTGTGCAAACTTGAACACAACATTTTTTCTTCTCAATTTTATTTTTCTCACCGATAAAATGGGCAGGTTGGACAGTCAGTAGTGCTAAACATATTGACTTTGCAGTACAGCCATCACCAGCATCCATCTCCATAATGTTGTTCATCTTGGAAAGCTGAAACTCTCCCCACTAAACAATAACTTCCCATTCCTCTCTCCCCCAGCCCCTGGCAACCACATTTTCTTTATCTATTCATTACGGATGGGCACTTGGGTTGCTTCTACCTTTTGGCTACTAGGAATAATGTTTCTGTGAATGCATGTGTATAGAGCTTAACTGTTGGAAACTTGAAATTTATTTGGCTATTGTTCTTCGGCTGTCTTATGCAAAGGAAGAATTTCCTTCTTTCTGTCTTCTATTTGTTAGAGTGTTTGCTGGGGTTCTTCACATGACCCCACACGTTTAAAAAATTAGTTACAGAATAGTGTTAAAAGTTCATTTCACGGCCAGGCGTGGTGGCTCACACCTGTAATCCTAGCACTTTGGTAGGCTGAGACAGGCAGACCACGAGGTCAGGAAATTGAGACCATCCTGGCTAACATGGTGAAACCCCTTCTCTACTAAAAATGCAAAAAATTAGCCAGGCGTGGTGGCACGTGCCTGTAGTCCCAGCTACTGGGAAGCTGAAGCAGGAGAATCACTTGAACCTGGGAAGCAGAGGTTGCAGTGAGCCGAGATGGTACCACTCCAGCCTGGTGACAGAGAAAGACTCTGTCTCAAAAGAGAAAAAAAAAAAAAAAAAAAAAAAAAAAAAAAAAAAAAAAAAAAAAAAAGGTCGTTTCACAACATGAATTTTAAACTGTAATCACTTTATAAGAAGAATGACAACAGTAACAGTGCCAGCATTTACTAGGCACTAAGTATATGTAGTTGGCATTATTCTAATTCTTTATGCATATTAATTAATTTAATACTCAAATAACCTCATGAGTTAGTATTATCATCCTTGTTTCCCAGGGCAGGAAAATGTGCCCAATAGTTTAATGGTCCTGCCTGAAGTTAGAGTTAGTACATGGTAGAATCATTAGGAGAATGCAGGGGATCTGGCCACAGTGTGGAGCTTTTAATTACTCTGTAGTTTGCTTTAGGGGCACCACAGTCTCTGCAGAAATTGTTCTAGGGATGGGCCCAATGTATCTCTGTCCCCTAGTTGGAGCTTTTCCACTTTTTTCTGTTTTAATCATTGGGTTTCGGGGTTTTCATTTGAACACCAATTTCTGTGGCAACAAACAAGTTTGGAAAAAAAAAATCACCGACTTAGATGGTAAAGTTCCTCCTACTCAAACTTTCTGTGAGTCCACCCTTTATTCTAGTTTGTAAAATTGACAGCATGCCCTGGGCCAAGCAGTCCAGTAACCTGGTAACCATGTTTGTTGATAGGAAATACCTGAGCATCGGGTTCACTGCACTCCAAGCTTTCCGACTCAAACGTCTGCTTCGGAAGCGTCTTGTGAAAATCTTTTCGAGATCCAGTCTTTTTAAAGCCACAAATTTCTGGACTTCCTTGATTTCTTTTATGGTTGGTATTTAATTTGGAGAAAGAAAGAGGGAGAAAGAGAGGCAAACCATTAGATTAAAAATAAAAATAATGGCTTAAATTGTAGACATGGTGCTGAGAGAGCTTTCAAAGAGGGAACCCATTGTAATTGCTCACTTTAATTATGCACCAGGCCTAATACAAGGCTCTGTTGTAATGAGATACAAACTCACCCCCTGGCTGGCTCATTATTAAAGGGAGGCATGGCCTGGGAAAATGCCACTTCAGAGGTGTGGTCATTTCAGCTGTGGGGCATTTGGCTCCAAGCTGAAGCTAAACCATGACCCTAGTGTTAAGTGGCTGGAATAAATCTAGCAACGTGCAGAAGCAGCAAACAGAAATCGTTTGAAGATAAAAATAGAGAAAACCATTTAATCTTCACATCAATGTTCTTAATAATGAATAAAGCAGGCGGGACATGGTTAAGAAAAAATAAAAATAAATGATTTATCTTTGTAAACAATCTCCACTTTATGAACTTTGCTAAAATTGTGTTGAAAATGTGCAGCTATGGAAAGAGTTTAAAATAGAATGTCTAGCCCTATCACTGAAGAAATGAGGCCATCAGAAGAAAGGAAAAACATGTAAGTTGTCGAGTGATGACTAGAGAAACCAACATGTATATTTCCCATTTTTATGACTCAAACACATCTTTGGAAAACATGCTGCAAAGTCAAGTGCACAAACACGCACCATTTTAATTTCAGTTGAGGATACAGGATATTTTATCTTTTATTTTTTTCCCGCTTTTATTTTAGGTTCAGGGGGTACATGTGCAAATTCATTACGTGAGTAAATAGCTTGTCACTGAGGTTTGATGTATGAATGATGTTGATGTCACCCACGTAGTGAGCATAGTACCCAAAGGGCAGTTTTTCAACTCACACCTGCTTCCATCCTCACTTTTCTAGTAGTCCCAGTGTCTACTGTGTTATCTTTATGTCCACATTTACCCATTGTTTAGCTCCCACTTATCAATAAAAGCATGTAGTATTTGGTTTTCTGTTCCTGTGTTAATTCACTTAGGATAATGGCCTCCAGCTGCATCCATGTTGCTGCAAAAAAGAATCATTTTGTTCTTTTTTATGGCTGTGTAGTACTCCATGGTGTATATGTACCCCATTTTTCTTTATCTAGTCCACTGATCAAGATGGGCATCTAGGTTGATTCTATGTCTTTGCTATTGTGAATTGTGCTGTGATGAACATATGGGTGCATGTGTCTTTTTTGTAGAATAATTTATTTTCCTTTGGTTTAGACCCAGTAGCCAGATAGCTGGGTTGAATGGCAGTTCTGCTTTAAGTTCTTTCAGAAATCTTGACACTGATTTCTGAAAGAAATCAGAAATGTGATTTCATGGTGACTGAACGAATTTCCATGTTAGTTTTTTTTTTTTTTTAAAGACAGGGTCTCATTCTGCTACCCAGGATGGAGTGCAGTGGTGTGATTATAGCTCACTGCAGCCTTGAACTCCTGCGCTCAAGCAATCTTTGCAACTCAGCCTCTCAGTAGGTGAGACTATAGGTGCATGCCACCATGCCCAGCTAATTTTTTTTCCATTTATTTTGATTTTTTGTAGAGACACTGTCTTCCTCCATTGCACAAGCTGGTCTCAACATGCTGGCTTCAAATAATCCTCCTGCCTCAGCCTCCCCAAATGCTGGAATTATAAGCGTAAGCTACCATGCCCAGCCTATTTTTTTACTTCAATAATAACCATTCTTACTGGTGTGAGTTGGTATTGCATTGTGGTTTTGATTTGTATTTATCTAATGATTAGTGATGTTGAGCATTTTTTCATATATTTGTTGGCCACATGTATGTCTTCTTTTGAGAAATATCTGTTCATGTCCTTTGCCCATTTTTAAATGGGTTGGTTTGTTTTTGCTTGAATTGTTCTAGTTCCTTATAGATTCTGGATATTAGACATTTTTCAGATGTATAGTTTGTGAATATTTTCTCCTATTCAGTAGGTTGTCAGTTTACTCTGCTGATAGTTTCTTCTGCTGTGCAGAAACTCTGTAGTTTCTTTAGGTCCTACTTGTCAATTTTTATTTTTGTTGCAATTGCTTATGGGGACTTATTCATAAATTCTTTGCCAAGGCCAATGTCCAGAATAGTATTTCCTAGTTTTTTTCTCTAGGATTTTTATAGTTTTAGGTCTTACATTTAGGTCCTTCACCTGTCTTGAGTTAATGTTTGTATATGAGAGAGGGAGGGGTCCAGTATCAATCTCCTATCTGTAACTAGCCAGTCATCCAGCACCATTTATTGAATAGGGAGACCTTTTCTCATGGTTTGTTATTGTCAACTTCATCAAAGATCAGATGGGTGTAAGTATGCAGCTTCATTTCTGGTTCTGTATCTTGTTCTATTGGTCTATGTGTCTGTTTTGGTGCCTGGACTATGCCGTGTTGGTTATTGCAGCCTTGTAGTGCAGCATGAAGTCAGATAGTGTGAGGCCACTGGCTTTGTTCTTTTTGCTTAGGATTTTTTTGGTTACTCAGGTTTTTTGGTTCCACATGAATTTTAGAATAGTTTTTTTCTAATTCTGTGAAAAAAAATGATGTTGGTAGTTAGATAGGAACAGCAGTGAATCTATAAATCTCTTTGGGCACTATGACCATTTTAATAATATTGATTCTTCCTATCCATGAGCATGGAAAATTTGTCCATTTGTTTGTGTCATCTATGGTCTCTTTTAGTGTGTTTCATAATTCTCATTGTAGACATTTTTCACCTCCTTGATTAGCTGTATTCCTAGGTATTTTATTCTTTTTGTGGCTATTATAAATGGAATTACATTCTTGATTTTTCTCTCAAGTTAGACATTACTGGTGTGTTGAAATGTTACTAAATTTTGTACATTGATTTTGTATCCTGAAACTTTACTGAAGTTGTTTATCAGCTCTAGGAGCCTTTTAGCAGCGTCTGTGGTGTTTTCTGGGTACAGAATTAGATTGCCTGCACTATGACAGAGCTAGTTTGACTTCCTCTCTTCCTATTGGGACATCTTTTATTTCTTTTTCTTGCCTGATTTCTCTGGCTAGCACTTCCAATACTATGTTGACAGGAGTGGTGGGAGTAGGCATCCTTGTTTTGGTCCTGTTCTCAAGAGGAATGCTTCCAGATTTTGCCCATTTTTAAATAGGGTTGTTGGCTGTGGATAGATGGATAATAGATGGCTCTTATTATTTTGAGGTACATTTCTTCAATGCCTAATTTGTTGAGAGTTTTTAATATGAAGAGATGTTGAATTGTGTCAAAAGCCTTTTCTGTGCCTATTGAGATTATCCTGTGGTTTTTAATTGTTTATGTGATGAATCACATTTATTGATTTGTATATGGTGAACCAACCTCACATCCCAGGAATAAAGCCTACTTGTTTGTGATGAATTAACTTTTCAATGTGGTGCTGGATTTGGTTTGCCAGTATTTTGTTGAGGATTTTTATGTTGATGTTCATCAGGGATATTGGCCTGAAGTTTTCTTCTCTGCTGTGTCTCTGTGAGGTTTTGGTATCGGAATGATGCTGGCTTTGTAGAGTGAGTTAGGGAGTAGTCCCTCCTCCTTGAACTTTTAAAATAATTTCAGTAGGATTGGTACTAGCTCTTCTTTGTATGTCTAGTATAATTTGACTGTGAATCCATCTGATCAAGGACTTTTTTGTGTAGATCTTCTATTACTGATTCAATATCAGAACTCATTATCGGTCGGTTCAAGATTTCAGTTTCTTCCTGCTTTAATCTTGGGGCTTGTGTGTTTCCAGGAATCTATCCATTTCTTCTAGGTTTTCTAGTTTGTGTGCATAGAGGTATTTATAACAGTCTCTGAGGATTTTTTATATTTCTGATGCATCAGTTATAGTGTCATTTTTGTCATGTCTGATTGTGCTTATTTGGATCTTCTCTCTCATTTTCTTTATTAATCTAGCTAATGGTCTATCAACTTTGTTTATTCTTTTGAATAACAAACTTTTGGTTTCATTGATCTTTTGTATGGATTTCATATCTCTTTCAGCTCTGATTTTATTTCTTTTCTTCTGCAGGCTTTGGGGTTGGTTTGCTCTTGTTCTTCTAGTTTCTCCAGGCCACATACCATTTCGTTTGATTTCCTGCACTAATTGAAAAACCACCAAGCTGCTAAAGGGACATGAGGTGAGATTGGGAGGTATTAGGCAGATCAAATGCCAGCTAGATATAATAAGAAATTAAAAGAGCTACTAGCAATTATACAAATACAAAGTTTATAACTCTGGCACAGAGAGGAGATATTCGACCAATTTTAGTTGACTGAATTAATTAAAGAATAAGATATCCCAGTGACGTTTTTAGGAAGAACAGGACACTCTCCCTGGATTTTACTGTGTTCTAAAAACAAACAGTTCATTTTGAGCCAAAAAAAAAAAAAGAAGACAAGAAATAGCCTAGAAAACAGATAAGATTAGCATGGTGACTAATTCAAGTCAAGATTTACTATAATGGGTCATTTTTAGTGTCCCTTGGCCACTTGAATTTCTCTGACCCAAACCTATGTTGATAGGGCTGGGTGAAAGGCAGGCTAAATTGGTGAAATGAAAAAAATAAATAATGAACAAGGTGTACTCTGAATAAGGAAATAAGACTAAACATTCAAAAAGGATTTCAAGAAAAATATACAGGCTGGGTGCAGTGGCTCACACCTGTAATCCCAGCACTCAGAGAAGCTAAGGTGGAGGACCGCTTGAGCCCAGGAGTTTGAGACCAGCCTGGGTGACATGGTGAAACCGCATCTCGACAAAAAGCACAAAAAAATTAGCCAAGTATGGTGCCACATGCCTGTAGTCTCAGCTACTTGTGGGGCTGGGATGGGAGGATTGCTGGATTGGCCATTAACAGAGTTATTTGAGAGAAGTTCTCACATGGATTTAATCAACCTGCTAGCTTCTTAAAAGTTACTCTCACCAGTATAAATTTAGGCAACAATGTATCTGTG